CACATCACGGTGCTGCGCGGCGCCGCCCCGCCCGCCCGCGCCAACCGCACCCGCGCCCAGCGCCAGGTGAGTGAGCGCGGCCCCTCCGCAGACCCAACAGAGAGCGCACCTGCGGGGGAAGCGGGGGATGGTTTGGCCCTCCAGGGCTCAGAGCAAAAAGGACCCGTCTGGGACAGTCCGGGCAGAGGGTGACCCTCGTGATGCAGAGTGGGCAGCCCAGGGGGGGCGGGGGAGGTGTGATGTCTCTTCTTTGGACCGCTTGAGGGGGGAGTTCTTGGCTAGGTTTGGGGCACAGTCACCCTTCGTCGGTCGGGTGCAGGGAGTGTCCTGAGGCCAGCACAGCTGCAACCAGATAATTCATGCATAGGGGTGGGGGGGTTCCCCCCCTCCTCCGAAAGCAGGTGGGCAAATTTGGCAGGCAGAGACCTGACAGAAAATGGCATTCAGTGGGGGTCTGGTGGGCGCCCTTTTCTCCTCCTCCCTCACTCTAGTGGGTGCCCCTCTCCTCCCCCCCGGCTGATGGCAATGTCAGAATGTCACTGAGTTGCTTGATTCACATTTTAATGTGCAAGGGCCCTGTTCAGCTGTCCTGAGCATCCTGGTGCAGGCACTTGAGTCTGCTGGCTGAGGTAGGGCAGATGTGGTGGTTCACCCAGGAAGCCTGAGTGGAGGGTTGCATGAGCAAGCCCTGGTGAGGAAAACTTCTCGCTGACCTCAGTGGGCTCAAATAAGGGCTGAGCAAAACGCCCAGGATGGCATTTTCCTGGGTAGGCTGCAGGTCTCTGTCACTCCTTTGCCATTCCTGTCTTGTTAAGGTGTTCAGGATTTCTAGTAATAAGACAGAAGGCATGGGCACTGACTCCATGGGGGCTTCAGGGCTTGAGCACCCACCAGAAAAAATTAGTGGGTTCTCAGCACCCACAAGCTATGTCGGGTGAGCTGGGTTGAAGTAATGCACAGCCTCTTTTGGGCATGCGCAGGGCTTAGTGCAGGAACACATTTGGAAAAAAAAAAAAAAGCACCCACTGGCAATAACCAAAGTTGGTGCCTACAGCAGAAGGTGTCTCTGGCTAGGAGTAGGACAAAGATGCACTTTATAGACTGGCTGACTCAGAGATGCATGAGGTTTTTGTGAGTCCAAGCTCAGTTCAGCAGAAGCTGTGAAAGGAGACACACGCAGCAGTCTTGATTTTTGGGGCACTCTGTTGATGGACTGCTCTGTGCATGTCTTTCCACAACATCCAATGAAACGAGCTGGGACTTGGGAGAGCTTGTGCATCTCTGATTTTTGTCAGTCTAGAAGGTGCATCTCCAGCCAGACTAACATGGCTAACTACCTCTCTAGTAATAAGATGTTATAAATGATGCTTTCTTTCCTCATGGGTCCATAGGCTGCCTTAAAAATGATGTTCTGTGGAAAAGTAAATTTAGAGAGGGCTTTTTCTTTTTTATGAGGTGTTTTCAATCATTAGAATAACCCTGCAATTGCCTTTCTTGACAGGCTAATAACATAATGAGGGAAACATCTGGACAAATGGGGACTCTAGGTGATACCATTTCCCAAAGGAATTTGTTGAGAAGACTGCATCAGGGCAGAGAGAAAAGAGGGAAAATCATCCCTTCCAGAAATTCTTACTGGTATCAATTTGACCAACCATTGTGAAAAACCTATTGACTTCTGACTTCGAGAAGTCTCTCTCTTCTGTTTCATAAAGTTATCTGTTCAAACAAGTCTATGTCTTTGTAAACATCATGATAGTTTTGGCAGCCCAGTTCCTATTTTCATCATGTGTTGCCATTTGTAGCAAAAAAGAGGTTTATATACTTCCCTACTGAACTGATTTTGCAGTTATATATTTGTGACTTGTGTCTCTGTAACAGACATTAACAGCACAGAGTGTATTTAACTACAATGAGCATTTAAACAGATGGAAAATTTATCAGTCAGTTGCTCTTGGCGTTTGCAGGGATTCATTTTGTAGCCAAAAATATAGTAACTTGTTCTAAAAAAAATTTGCTATTCATAATACTAGTAGGCAGATGGTCTCATGTAAGATATCAGAATACCCATCTCAAGCTTTTTTTAAGCTTACGCTGGTAACTTCAGTTTTTGAGTAATTTCAGGAAAGATGTTGAGCTGTTAAATTAATCAGACTGACAAATACTTGGGGAGCAGCAAACATTACTGCATTCCCATGTGAAAAATCAATGCTGAAGAGGTACTTACAACTACACAAAAACAGATCTGTTATAAACAAATGGTAGTAAATCAGGTTGCTGTTGTTTACATGGGTTTTTTGGGGGGGGGAGTTTACTAGTTGATAAAATCCATATGTGATATAACAGAACTCAGCTTGATATACACACTGTTGTTTAGCTTGGTTGACATACAGAGTTGTTTAGTTTGCATTTCTGTCATCCTGTGTGCTTGAGGGTTATGGAAAGGTGGCAACTGCTTAGAAATCAGGCAGTGTTCACACCTTCCCTTTTTTTTTTTTTTCCTTTGGAGCCTCAAAAAGGATGTGAAGAGGGAGAATATAGTATAACACAATGGAGTAATATCAGATAAATACTTCATGTAACAAAATCTGTTGCATGTCACACATAGGCGTATCCAAATAAGAACTTTTTATACCACCACTATTCGGAAATGTAACTTTGACCAGGCACATTTTATACCAAAGCCTGCAGGCATACCAAAGTCATTACCGCTGAGGATTTGTAAACTCTGCTCTGATTTCTAGTATCATTCAGAGGATTAATTTTATTGTTATGAAAAAATAAGAATGATCAGCATTAAATATAGACTTTATTGCTGCATCCAGACAAGTGCAGTCATGTGGAGCCGCAGACACATCTGTGGCGCCACATCGCGCATGTTCAGCTATTCTCCATGCTTCAAGGAAGCAGCGGGGTGGGGGTTGACCCCTGGGTATCCAGGTGTCAAAAAAAAAAAAAAAAAAAAAGGGGGCATCCCATGAGGGGGAAATGCAACCCCCTTACTACTGGGCCTGGGCCAGC